TCTGTCGATGTCGCTGTCGTCTCACGTCGAGCGGACAGCTCTTGTTGCTCTCTGGGATTGGTTCTGGGCGCTCTCTCTCCGCGACCCGGGCGACATCTTCTTTGAGAGCGAAGCTTCCCCTCGAGCGCGGGCTTGGTCCCGAATCCCACTTGATGAAGCCCCAACCGCGACGACAGTGTCCCCCGCTCGATGCCTCAAGTCGGGCCTGATCATCTACAGGAGGAATATGTGAGAATAAGCAAACGTTGTCAGGGGACGATTTTTTGATTTTCTGGGGGGCACTTTTGAAGTATTTGTTATTTTTTCGTCCAAAATCACCCTGTAGGAGGACAGGCCCGACTTAATCTTAGACGCCCTGGCCAGAGAGGCCACCAAGCTCAGGAAGGGCGCTCTCTCGCCCGCTCACAATCTTCTCCGAGACGCCCTGACTAGTTATGAAGCAGTGGCAAAGCGTCCTGGCGGTCCCTGCTCAAGACTATAGAGTCCACATCACTCGGGCATTTTTGTGTCCAGTTCGCTTCCCTGGGCCGTTTTTTTCGTCCCGCTATGCCCAGACGGCGGTTCTGCGACAGAAAGCAGAGTGCGATAGCCTACCCTAGCGAAGCGCCCTGACATCAAGTCGGGCATGCCCCTCTACAGGAGGAAAGCTCAAGAATAGTAAAGAGAATCGTCTGGTGACGATGTTCCGATTCTGTTTTGACTATTTTGGCTGATTTTTCATTCCCTACCTAGGCTTTGCCTAGAAGGGTTCTTACTCTCTGAGCTTAAAGGGGCCGGGTAGTGGGCTCCGCCCCGGGCGGTTCCCCCGGCATCCGCCCCAAGGTTCCCCCAGTTACGTCCCCTTAGCTTAGCGTTGCTTATCTCATCTTAGCTTAGCTTAGCTTCATCTTAACTCAGGTTTATCTTAGCTTAGCTTACCTTCATATTAGCTTCGCTGAACTTTAGCATAGCAGAGCACAACATTGCATAGCATAGCGTAGCATAGCATAGCGCATCACAGCATATCATAGCATAGCCCAGCACAGCATAGCATAACGCAGCATAGCATAGCATAGCATAGCGCAGCACAGCACAGCACAGCATAGCACAGCGCAGCATAGCATAGCGTAACATAGCATAGCATAGCATAGCATAGCATATCAACAACTCAAAGGCAAAGCATCAACAGCGACAGCAAAGCAAAACGTGGGTGTAATTCCCTGCCCAGGCTCTGCCTAGAGGTTTAGCTTAGCTTAGCTCAGTCTAGCTTAGCTTAGCTTAGCATAGCGCAGCGCTGCATTAGCATATCATAGCATAGCATAGCATAGCCAATCATAGCATAGCATAGCGCAGCATATCGCAGCATAGCATAGCATAGCATAACATATCATATCATAGCGCAGCTTAACATCGCACAGCATAGCATAGCACCGCATAACTTAGCACAGCACAGCGCAGCATGACATATCACAGCTTCGCATCGCATAGCATAGCACAGCATAGCACATCATATCATAGCATAGCATAACATATCATAGCACATCATGGTTTAGCATATCATAACATAGCGCAGCATATCATGGCATAACATAGTATATCATATCATATCATAGTATGGCATAACATAACAACTAATGCTGCTTTCCTAGGGGCTCCAACTTCTAGGTAGGGTCGCACTGGGGTAATATTTTTTAGGGGGGGGAAGGCATGCCCGACCTAAACCTGATATCAGCAGAGGTGAAGAGCCGAGTCGAGGAGTACAGACAACCCGCATAGCAAGGATGGGCAACCTTGCCAAGGCTGCCCTTGCGTCCTTCCCCTTCGGCTTATCCCTTGCGACTTCTGCTGGCCAGCCTCGTTCGAAGCATGTCGACTTGGCCCGTTCGAAGGCCCCTGCACCCTTTCCGCGCATCCTTACGATACGGGTTGCCTGTGCGAGGACGGTTCAGTGCAGACGTGCCCGCTCCCAGATCTTCCCGGGGATCTTCCCCGGGCGCGCGTGGGCGGGGCTGCGAGCACGGCCGTGTGCGCACCCCGCATGCGTTTTTTTTCACAAGGGGGGACCGCGGCCGTGCGACACGTCCTTTTGCAGGGAAGCGTGGCCGCGCGACGGGGGCGAGAGCACGGCCATCTGCGCGGCGTAGCGTTTTTTTTTTTGAACAGGGGGATCGTGACCGCGCGGGCAGGGGCGAGGGCATTGCCATACGCAGCGTGACGTATTTTTACGAGGGAGCGCGGCCGCGTGACCCGAAACGTCATAAACATGAACTTTCTGCGCTCCACGCGGGTTTCTTGGATACGCGCTGGGCCCCCCCCCCCAGCGACGCCTCCGGCGCCGCCCCTGGCGCGCTCCGCGCGCCAGGGAGGGGGGTCCAGCGCAGACCCAAGGGATGGTGGCCGTTTGGACCAGCAATGAAGCTGGCATTGAAGGCGAGGCCATCCGAGGCGTGCGCGCCTTGACGGGCGCTGACCGCGTTGTGTGCGCCGCCCTTGGTCCACGCGGTCTCCCAGTGGGGGCACGATGCAGACGGCCTCCCACCTCCCTCGAGGGAATATCTCTAGGCTTCCTAGATGGGGTTTGAGCAGATGGGGTCGGAGGATCGATGTGGAGCCCGATTTCCTCAATGCCGACGTCGCCGATGCATCGCCGACGTCGCCAATACATCGCAGATGCAACGCTGATGCATTGCCGATACATCGTTGATGTATCGGCGATGCGTCGCGATCCTCTAATCCCATTTACTCCGACCCCATCTAGGGGGCCTCTACTATCTCAGAGGAGGAAAAGGTGCCGTTGCGGCTGCCCCAGCCTCGTTTTCGCCCTCTTGGGGGGCCTCCGGTGAAGGCCCTCGTCGCCACGGCTGGATTCGCCTCGGACTTTGGTCAGTGCACCCTTGGTTTCCCAGGCATCGGGTGCCCGCCGAGGGGAGGAGGAGGAGGAGGAGAGGAGGAGGAGGAGGAGGAGGAGGAGGAGAGGAGGAGGAGGAAGAGGAGGAGGAGGCGGAGGAGGAGGAGGAGGAGGAAGAGGAGGAGGGGGAGGCGGAGGAGGAGTAGGAGGAGGAGAAGGAGGGGGAGGAGGAGGAGGGGGAGGAGGCAGGCGCTCTCCGAAGCCGCGGAGGGCTCGTCGGAATCTCGGACAGGCCCTCGCCGGCTTCGGGGAGGGCCTCCCGGGAGGCTTCTCCCCTGGAGGCCCGGGAGGCTCGCCCAGCGCCCTCCGAGAGAAAGGCCCGCCCCCAGTGCCTTCCCCCCCGGGGCGCGCCGTCGACGGGGGTTCTTCGTGGGCACGGGTCGGGGCTGCGAGTCGGAGCGGAGACGTGGGGCTGCGAGTCGGAGCGGAGCGAGTCGGGGCGGCAGAGAGGGGGGGGATGACTAGGGGGGGGTGGATGGATCTCATGGCGGGGGCCAGGATAGTTCCCCAGATTTCATGGCGCCCCTTGTTATTCCATTACTTCCCTGGCCCCCCCCGCTGGGCCGCGCACATGCCGCCGGTCATGATTTGCACCCCCCCGCTCTTGGACACCCCCGTCTTGGCCGCTCCCGATCGTTTTTGGGGGCCTTTCTGGGGCCCACCTGATGGATCTGTTCGACTCCAGTTCGCCTCCAGTTCGACTCCACTTCGACTCACGTGTCGACTCACGTTCGACTCAGGTTTGCCTCGAGTTCGACTCAGGTTCGACGCAGGTCGACGGACGTTCGACGCAGCTTCGACGCACGAGGGGAGCGAGTGGCTCCAAGAAGGTCTCCAGAACGAGCGTCTGACGTTGCAGTGAGGCAAGTCTTCGAGGTCGAGGATGGGGCGCTGGTTTTTCCGTGCCGTTCCTTAGACCCAGGCGGGGGAGCCTCCTCGTGGCCGAGGCTCGCCGTGGCCAGCAGCGCTCCTCCGCCCCTTTGTCAAGGGCTCCCCACGAGGGCGCGAAGTGATTCGCCCTTCGCGCCTCGCGGTCCTCGTTCCTTCTCCCCCTCCTCCTCGCCCTCCTTTTCTCCCTTTGGGGGGGGCGGCGCGAGAGCGCGAAGCTATTCGCGCCTCGCGCCTCGCGCGAAGCGCGAAGCGCGAACCTGGGAGCCCTTGCCCTGTCCGGCGTTCGGCGTGGTGGCGCGATCGGCTGTGCGTGCCGAGCCCCACGGAGAGCGGCCTGCTCCCACGCCCCGCGCAGAGTGGCCCAGCCGCTTCCGAGTACTGTGTCGGTCGACCACGGAGAGAGACCACGGGCCACGGGCCACCGAGTGCCGGACCCGGGGGAGCCCACGCGCGCTTCTGGAAGCAGTGGTTTGCATCGGCGTTTGGCAGATGGTTTGCTCTGGGGAGCACTGCGTCGAACAAGCACAGCCGAGGCACAGCGCTCATCTGAGCTGTCTTGCCGCTGGACACAACAATGGTTTGCATCGGCGTTTGGCAGATGGTTTGCTCTGGGGAGCACTGCGTCGAACAAGCACAGCCGAGGCACAGCGCTCATCTGAGCTGTCTTGCCGCTGGACACAACCATCCCTGATGCGCCTCCTCTGCCTCTCTCCGACGCTGGGTGCCGAGCTGGTGCTGCGGCTGCAACTGGACGGCTGCGACGTGGTCAGGCAAAGGTCCACTGCGACGCTGGCAGGCAGAGGTCCATCATATCCCACCCCTCCTCGTTTACCTTCATCCCTTCTTCACCTCCGTTTCGCTCCCGTGTTTCATCCTTCCCGCCCTCCTCTGTCTTTTTTCTCCACTCCCTCAACATGCTTTGCCCTTCTCTTTTTCCGGGTTTATCCTCCCTCACCCTCCTTCATTCTCCTCTCTCTGTGTCGGTGTCTCTCTCTCTCTCTCTCTTGTCCCTCTCTCTTTCTCTCCCTACCTCTTCCTCACCCTCCCTCTCTCTCTTTCTCTGTCTTTGCCCCCCCCCCCACCACCCCCTCTCTCTCCCTTCCTCCCACTCCCTCCCTCTCCCTCCCTCTCTCTCTCTACTTCTATCCCACTCTTCGTGCCATCTTTGTTTGTTCTCTCTCTCTCTCTCTCTCTCTATATATATATATATTTTCTCTTTCCTCTCTCCCTCTCTCCCTCCCTGTTCCCCTTCGCGGGGGGCCGCCGCACCAACGCTCCGTCGGCTCGAGCCCATCCGCACACACTGCAGCCTTGCTTTTTGGAGTCGGGGGGGAGCGGCTCCTTCCACCTCCTCGCTCCTCCTCATCTCGCTCCTCCCCCTCGTCCTCCTGCTCCTCCTCCTTCTCCTCGTCCTCCTGCTTCTCCTCCTCCTCCTCCTCGTCCTCATGCTCCTCCTCCTCCTCCTCCTCCTCCTCCTCCTCCTCCTCCTCCTCCTCCTCCTCCTCCTCCTCCTCCTCCTCCTCCTCCTCTCTCCTGCTCACCGTGCACCATCGTTGACTCAGGAGGGGGGAAACACACAGACACAATTCATCGTCGACTCCCAGGAAAATATGGGAAGATACGCGAAGTGGGGGGGAAGACGAAAGCCCAGAACATATGGGAAGATATGGGGAACCCTGGTGTTTGTGCCTATTGGTTTGTGTGTCCCTGGCACCCCTTGATTGACATGCTTCATATACTGTGATATCTTGCGAAGCCTGCTCCTGTGGGCCGAATCGACGCTTTGCATTGACCCCTCCCCGTTGTGATTCATTTCCATGCAGAGACGTCCTTCGAATGCTCATTCACTTGGCGGTGTCATAATGGCTTGTCTTACAGTGGAGACCCGTGCCAAGGAACATCCAGTTTGCCTCCAGGGTACCCAGGGCTTCTCGGGCTTCGACGGTCATGCTCTGGAAAGCGCGACGCTCCCGCCCCAAATGTTCATGGACGTCCTGGGGTCTGAGGGCTGGGTTTCTTGTGGAAGGCGTCTTGTGGCCGGGCCCCCACTGTACCGCCTTGGCAGCGCGCCTCTGACTTGCGCAGCTCCTCTCTTCTCCTTCTCAGGAGGGAAGAAACACACAGACACAATTAATCGTCGATCCCCCAGAAAATATGGGAAAATGTGGAAAGTGGGTCGGAAGACGGAAATCCCCTAAAATATGGAAACTATTGGAAATCCTTTTATTCGTGTGCATTTATTTGTGTGTGTGTGTGTCCCAGGGCCCCTTCTAGGGTGTCCCCGGCTTTTCGCTCCCTCTTGGGGCTCGTTTTTTTGTTGTGTTTCAGTTTTTTTTCTTTCTTTCTCCTCCATCCCCCCGGAGGGTCGGGGCCCGGGAGCCCCTTTCTCGCCGCCGGGGCCTCGCCTCGCCGTGGCCGGACGCGCCCCCCTTGCGCGTCTGCCTCCAGCGGCTTTCCTCTCTGCAGCGGGGGCCCGCCTCGAGAGGCCGCCTTAGGGGCCCACCTGCGAACCCTGCCCCTGCCCCCCACGATTTCGGAGGGGGAGGGTGGGGTTCGCATGTGGCCCCCTACGCCTGCTTTTCGTCAGGGTCCAGCAGAGAGAGCGCCAGAAACATTCACTCTAGGCGCTCCGCGCAGATCTCTTGGATCTGCGCTGAGGCCCCCCGCCGGCGCCTCCGGCGCCGCCCCTGGCGCGCTCCGCGCGCCAGGGAGGGGTCCGGAGATCCGCGCGGAGCGCCAAAAGTTTCTGGTTCTGGCGTTTTTTCTATTGGTAAGGGTACCCTGCCTTTCTTCGCTGCACGCGCTGCGCAGTGTCGTCCCACGGGCGTGAAGGAACTGCAGCATGAAGGATGCCTGGGGTTTCCCCCCCAGGTGCAACTCGGGCGCAGTTTTTCAGGGTCGGGTTTCCTGCGAGGATCTCTTCTGGGCGCGTCCGCTGTGCATTGTGGCACGTTTTCTTTTTAGCATCGGCTTTCGAACTGGAAAACAGCATCAGCGTAGTCGTTCGGAAGTCTGCGCGGACTTGGATCGGCGTCAGACCCCCGCGCGCCAGGGAGGCATGGAAGGTTGCTCAGCGCCGATCCATGAACTTCGAGTGGACCTGCGAAATATTGTGATTATTGTGATCGTTTTCTTTTTCATTGTTTTGCCGATCGGCGCGGGCCCTGATCCCCCCCGTGGAGCAGGTCCTGGCTGTTTTTGTCGCCTGTCTCAAGCAGGTGGAGTCTCTCCCACAGGACGCACTTTTGAAAACAGTTCCCTTCAGCAGAGGTCTGGAGCCAAGCCGCCCCCCCCCCCTTCCCTCCTTTCTCCCAATGCCGAAACGCCGAACAAGACAACTCACAAGCAGATTCTTCTTCTGGTAGTTCTCGTTTGATCTCGCTGAGTGCACAGGGTTGCAAACATCGGGGGAGGAGGAGGAGGAGGAGGAGGAGGAGGAGGAGGAGGAGGAGGAGGAGGAGGAGGAGGGGGAGGAGGCCAGGGTGTCCCCGGCTTTTCGCTCCCTCTCGGAGCCCGCGAGCCTCCCCTGGGCCTCCGGGCCCGCGAGGTCCACGCCGGACCTGCGTGGCCCCCCGCTCGGCTGGACCTCCCGGGAGCCCACGGAGAGTGGCGACAGTCCCCCAGAGGGGTGGCGCGTCATCTGCAGCAGCAGCAGCAGCAGCAGCAGAGGCAGCATCAGCATCAGCATCAACAGCATCAGCATCAGCATCAGCATCAGCATCAGCATCAGCATCAGCATCATCATCATCATCATCATCATCATCATCATCATCATCATCATCATCATCATCATCATCATCATCATCACATCATCATCATCATCACATCATCACCATCACCATCATCCATCATCACCATCACCATCACCATCACCATCACCATCACCATCACCATCACCATCACCATCACCATCACCATCACCATCATCATCATCATCATCATCATCATCATCATCATCATCATCATCATCATCATCATCATCATCATCGTCATCATCGTCATCGTCATCGTCATCGTCATCGTCATCGTCATCGTCATCGCCACCACCATCGTCATCGTCATTGCGCAGCTGGCAGCCCCCCAGGACGCCGCGAGGTCCCGGCCGTGTCTGCGTGGCCTGCCGCTTCGCTGGCTCTCCCAGGAGCCCACAAGCCTTAAGTCGGGCGAGTCCCTCTACACTCTACAGGTATAGGAGGAGTATTCAAACATAGTCAAAGAATAGTCAAAAAATAGTGCAGGGGACGATTTTTGGACTATTCCTGTCAATTCTTGCATCTCCGAGATTTTCCGTTTTTCGCTCAAAAATCGCCCGTAGGAGGACATGCCCGACCTAACGCGAGGCCCTTCTGGGTGTCGTGATGGGCCGCTTCGGAGGGCGCGGGGGCCTCCTTGGAAGTCCTGGGGGGCACCATGGACCCGGGACCCCCGTCTGGCAGCACCCGGACAAGCGTGGAAACCCTCGTGGGCTTCGTTGTCATCAAGAGGCGTTGTGTGTGTGTGTGTCTTAGTGGGCCATGGAAACGACAGGGCCGTTTTTTTACCGGTTCCGTTTTGCCGTTGTTTTGCCGGTTCCGACGCCGTTTTTCACCGGTTCCGTGGCCGTTTTTTGACCGGTTCCGGTCGTTTTTTTTTTTGCTGTTTCCACTTTCAAGGGACATTTTTTTGGGAAACGGTGAAAAACGGCCCTGCCGTTTCCGGGGCCCACAAAGGTGTGTGTGTGTGTGTGTGTGCTTTTGTTGATGTTGTAGCTTTGGGCTCGGCCGAGACGTTTGAACACAGAAACTACACCCTGGAACTACACCAGGGTGGCCCGTGTGGGCTTCGTTGTGATCAAGAAGCCTTGGGTGTGTGTTTTGATGATGCTGCAGTGCTCTGGGTTTCTCACCTTTGTTGCCCTTGTCGACTTGGACTCGGCCAGCATGCTTGAAACAGTACGCCCAGGAAGCATTTAAGACCCCCCCCCTCTGGCAAATCGATAACCCTTCCGCACCCTGGAAGCGTTACCTGGCACCAGGAGCCCTCCTTGTGTCCGGGTGCTACAGCTATCGTTCGGTTATTTCGGCCCCCCGGAATATCGAATAAAAAATGCGGTGCCACGATGTCGCCGGGGGGGTTCTGAAATGCTTCCTGGGGTTACGCCCTGGAGCGTGGGGCGGTACTTCACCACCCACCAAACCACCCCAACCCAACCCGAAGGCTCAGATTTACCCTCGATTTCCAGTTGGGGGGGGTCGGGAAACATTGAAAAAACACATGTGGAACCCTTACCCCCCCCAACCCGAAATTCGGGTCTTCGGGTTGGGTTGGGGTGGTCTGGTAGGTAGTCAGTACTGTGATATACCAGGGAGCGACCCTCGAAACGCGGTGGGAGCGGACGGGGACGGGGCGGGTGGGCCACGGCCCGAGAGCGCAGCACAGCCTTTGCGCCCAGCACGCGTAACAGAAACAAGGGCTCCCTCGAGGGCGCGAAGTTATTCGCGCTTCGCGGTCCTCGTTCCTTCTCCCCCTCCTCCTCGTCCTCCTTCTCTCCCTTTGGGGGGGCGGCGCGAGAGCGCGAAGTTATTCGCGCTTCGCGCTTCGCGCAGCGCGAAGCGCGAAGTTGGGAGCCCTAGAGAAACGTCGTTCTTCGACATGGGGAAAGACGCCCTTCGGGGGCGGAAAAGAGGGGGGTGATGACTAGGGGGGGGTGGATCTCATGGCGGGGGCCATGATATTTCCCCAGATTTCGTGGCGCCTCTTCTTGTTTTCATTGCGTCCCAGGTCCCCCCGCCGGGCCGCGCACATGCCGCCGGTCATGAGTTGCACCCCCCCCTCTTGGACACCCCCCTCTTGGCCGCTCCCGAGCCCTCGGCGCTCCCGAAGACTTGGCATCGCTCGGACGTGTGCATTTTCTTTCTCGGCGAGGACCTTCGAGGAGCGTCCTCGACCATCTGGCGAAAAAAACACGCACGACACCGAACAAAACACAGGGAATGGACGTCCGAGCGATGGCCAGAAGAGCATCAGATGCCAGAGGCATGGTCGGCACCACCCGAAAACGCTTGCCTCCCCTGGCCCCCGACGGCCCGATGTGTTCGAGCCTCGGGCCCCCAGAACTCTCGACCCCTTCCCTGGGGCAAGTTCCCGAGTGGGTTTTTGACAGTCCCAGGGCCCGAAGCCAGCCGGGAGCCGAAAGTGCAGAACAACCTGGGGCTCGAGGTTTCCGAGTCTCTGGAGGCCTGGGTTTGGCAACACCCGGGAAGCGGGCGTGGAACGATTGGTGACGGGCATCCTCGCCCGCGGCCGTTCCGCGCCCTCCCCCGCCCAAAACTTAGGATGAAACTCCTGCGAAGTTTAGTTTCAGCATCGGCGCTGGCAGATCCGTGGCCGTACACGGGCATAATCTGTCACAGTCCCGCCTGATCTGGCTCCATCCGGCTAAATCCCACTCAATCTTGCTTCAGCCGGCTTTATTAGTCTGGCCTACTCCCAGGCTTCGTCTGGTTTAGTCCATCATCGTAGATCCCCAGGCGATACGAACAGGTCTGAATCCTTTTTTCGAAAACCTCCTAGGAGTTGTGATGGCGCCTAGTTCGAAGAGCGGAGTTCAATCGGACAAATTACCCTACACTTGCCCAACCCCAGCTCCACGCGAGGCGAATTTGTATGACTGCTCCATGAAACCCCAAAATACCCATCGCCAGACACTCACGATTTGCGCTGCCCTCATCTCCGCCGTGCCTCCCAGGAGCCCACGAGAGTGGCGGTAGTCGCGCAGTTCGCTGCCCCCGAGGGCCGCGGGGTCTGAAATGGATTTGCGCTGCCCTCACCTCCGCCGTGCTTCCCAGGAGCCTGCAAACAGTGGCGACATCTGCGCAGTTGGCAGCTCCCCAGGTGGCCGCGAGGTCCCCGCAAGATCTGCGTGGCCCCCCACTCGGTTGGACCTCCCAGGAGCCCACGAAAGTGGCGGCAGTTCCGCAGTTGGCAGCCCAGCAGCGAGCCGCGAGGTTCCCGCTAGATCTGCGCGGCCCCCCACTCGGCTGGACCTCCCAGGAGCCCACGGAAGTGGCGGCAGTTGCGCAGCAGCCCAGCAGGGAGCCGCGAGATTCCCGCTAGATCTGCGTGGCGCCCCTTTCCGGTGGATCTCGCAGGAGCCCACGAAAGTTGCGGCAGTTGCGCAGTTGGCAGCCGGCCGGGGAGCAGCGAGGTCTCGAATGGATGCGCGTACCCCCTGACTCCGCAGGACCTCACCGGATCCAGTGGTGAGAGTTGCGCAGTGAGGTCCCTAATGGGTCCACGTGTAGCTCCAATCCGGTGGACCTCCCAGGAGCCTGCGACAAGTGACAACAGTTGCGCAGTTGGCAGCCACCCAGGGAGCAGCGAGGTCCCCAGTGGGTCCACGTGTAGCTCCACTCCGCTGGACCTCCCAGGAGCCCACGAAAGTGGCGACAGTTGCGCAGTTGGCAGCCCAGCAGGGAGCCGCGGGGTTCCCGCTAGATTTGCGTGGCTTCCCTTTCCGCTGGACCTCTCATGAGCTCACGAAAGTTGCGACAGTTGAGCAGTTGGCCGCCTCCCAGGGAGCATCGCAGGAGGAGGCAGGAGGAGGTGAGGAGGAGCAGGAGCAAGTGGGTGACGCGCGAGTAGTGCTCTATTCAACACGATAACCCGAGACAGCAGGGTTGTGGTCAACAAAGAGCTCTGGATTGCCCTGTGAACTTCATTCATGACTGAACTTCGTTTTTTTTATGCCAGTAGCGAAATGCGACTTCAGGAATCCACGTGATAGTCACTGCGCCTCTCGCCCGCCGTTTCGAGGTGCTTCGCCTGCAGAAATCCAATCGAATTTTACGGTGGCCCGCCTGAAAGACCATCGGGCCGGGCGAAAGGGGGGGATTGGGAAAGGGGGGGTTACGAAATTTGCTGCATGCAGCTGGTTTCGGCCTCACCGAGGGGCCCATTCCTCGATACATGGCCGCCTCCGGCGCCGGGAGGCGCCGGGAAAATCAGCTACGCGAGCTGATTCTCAAACCCCCCCTTTGCTATCCCCCCCTTTCGCCCGACCCGAGAGTTGCCTTCTGCCCCCTCCCAGCGAGGGTCCATGTGCTGGCCCCGCGGAAGCCCATGACGCCCGCGCCCTGGCGCTGACGCCGCCGCGCAGGAGGCGCGGAGGTCCACCTCTCGACCCGCTCCGGCCCGCTCCTCGCTCCTGGGGCCTCCATCCTCGATCTTTCCTCAAGACCCTCGATCCTTCTCGAGCCTCGATCATCGATCCTCGATCCCTCCATCTTTCGCCTCGAGCCTCGATCCTTCCCCGGGGTGCGGGCGTGGCATCCCTTTTGGCACCGCTGCGCTCTCGCGCGCGGCTGCGCGTCCCGAGGGGCCCATCGCAGCTCGATCCGGCTCGGAGCGTGCCGCAGAACGATGCGGAGGGCCAAGGGCCCCGGGGCGCGAGCCGTGCTTGTTCTTCCTGGCAGGCTGCTGCAGGCGAGTGGGGCTCGATTCGCCCGACGCGCCCTGCCAGTCGCAGGCGGATGCGCTTCGAAGACACCATCCGCAGATTTTGCAGTGACCAGGGGCTGAGCGAGTGGCAACTCGTTGCTGGGAACGACGATGCATGGCGCAATCTCACGTGCGCTTTTGTGTCTTATTCGGTGAAGTCGCGCTTCGAGGGCTTTGACAGGACTTCCATTCCATTCCATTCGACCTTGTTTCCTGTTCGCGGCGTCGGATCGCAGGGGGGCCCCCGCTCCCTCTTTCCTTCGGCTCGCTCCCGCTTCCACCGTGCTCTCCATCCTCAGGCCTCCGGCCTCTCTTTGGCCCCCGTGGGAAGAGAGCGGGCAGCACGGGAGCTGGCACGGCCTGCAGTCCTCCCGCACAGCAAGAGGGTGAGCCGCCTTCCAGCGCGCTTCCCTGGCACCCTTCCCCTGCGGCCCGCCCGGGGCCGCCTTCGCTGGCCGCGCCTCGCTCGCAGAGTGTCGGCGTGGCCTTCCAAGGTCCTCGCATCCTCACCGTGCGTCCTTCTTATGAGGGTTGAGTGTGCCCTATCAGGAGGAGAAAACACGCGCAGAAACAATTCATCGCTGATTCCCTAGAACATATGGACAAATAATGGGCTGTGGGGGGGAAGAACCCAGGAAATATTTGTGTGTATCTACTTGTGTGTCCCAGGGCCCCTTCACCCTGCTTGCACCCCCCTCCTCATCCTGCAATTCCTGACAAGCCATGCTCCTCCGCGCCTGCAGGGTCGGGCCTCGCGGCTCTCTCGGGTCCGCAGCGTCAGACTTCGGGGGCCCCGGCCTCCCCCACCTCTCGGATCTCATCAGCTTGACGCATGCCGCATGCCCTTGTCCCTCTGTTTAAAATCACCCGTCCTCCCGGCCTCGTTCTGAGGCTGCGCCCCCCTTTTCCTCCCCCTTCTCTGATTAATTCAAGCTTCGCGCGGCCCGCTTAGCTTCGACCAGAAGAGGTGCGCTCTCGACCCGCGGATCAAAACTGTTTGGCACCACCTTACCCAGGTGCCGATCCTGAGGGTTCCCTCGGTTCCCGAGGGCACGCCCCTGGGATTGCCATCGCCTGAGGCTTTGAGGCTCGCCGATCTTAGGGATAGGGACAGGGTCGAGGCTGGTTCGGACCCCCTCCTCCTCCTCCTCCTCCTCCTCCTCCTCCTCCTCCTCCTCCTCCTCCTCCTTCACCTCCTCCTTCACCTCCCCTTCCTCCTCCTCCTTCGCCTCCTCCTCCCCTCCTTCTCCTCCTCCTCCTCCTCCTTCTCCTCCTCCTCCTCCTTCACCTCCTCCTTCACCTCCTCCTTCATCTCCTCCTCCTCCTCCTCCTCGATCCTCCTCCTCCTCCTCCTCCTCCTCCTCCTCCTCCTCCTCCTCCTCCTCCTCCTCCTCCTCCTCCTCCTCCTCCCCCTCCTCTTGTCCTCCTCCTCCTCCTCCTCCTCTCCTCCTCCTCCTCCTCCTCCTCCTCCTCCTCCTCTCCCCCTCCTCTTTTCCTCCTCCTCCTCCTCCTCCCCCTCCTCCTCCCCCTCCTCCTGCCTCCTCCTCCTCCTCCTCCTCCTCCTCCTCCTCCTCCTCCTCCTCCTCCTCCTCCTCCTCCTCCTCCTCCTCCTCCTCCTCCTCCTCCCCCCCCCCTTGGATCGTCGACCCGCTTCGGTTTTCTTCAGCCTCGGACCTCGGCCCTCAGCCGTCGGCCCTCGATATCTTCGGTCCTCCTGGATCCTCCCCGCGGGCCCTCGATCTCCCCCGCTCCTCGATCCTCCTCGATCCTCGAGCGTCCTCGATCCTCCTGGATCCTCGATCCTCCTCGATCCTCTGCGATCCTCGAGCCTCCTCGAGCCTCCTCGAGCCTCCTCGATCCTTCTCGATCCTCCATCCTGGATCCTCGAAGCCTTCGACCCTCGACCCCCTCCCCGGGGGGGATCGGCTCTTCGCGCCCCGAGTCGCTTAAGCGCGACGGCCCCGGGGCCCGGCGAGGTGGGCGCCAGAGGCAGAACATACAGCAGACGGGCATGCAGCCATGGCATTTGTTGTTTGTTTTTTTTTTATTATTATTTTTGTTTTTTTGTGTGCGTGTAGTTTTTTTTTGTGTGTGTTGTTCGCCCCTGGGCCTGGCCCCTGGCAGCTGCAGCTTGCAGCCCCCTCACGCCGGCCCGCCCGCCGAGGCGCTGCTGAGGTCGCCGGTCCGTCGGCGTTGGGCAATTCGGCTCTTGCGCGGCCCGGTCGGATCCGACTCGCCGCTGGCGCCCTCGCCTGCGGTTGCGACAAAGAACAAGGGCTCCCTCGAGGGCGCGAAGTTATTCGCGCTTCGCGCTTCGCGGTCCTCGTTCCTCCTCCCCCTCCTCCTCGCCCTCCTATTCTCCCTTTGGGGGGGCGGCGCGAGAGCGCGAAGTTATTCGCGCTTCGCGCTTCGCGCAGCGCGAAGCGCGAACTTAGGAGCCCTTGAAGAACGTGTGTGTGTAGTTTTTTTCCTTTTTGTTTGTGCGTGTGTGTGTGTGTCTGTTGTTTTTTAGGTCTTGGTTTCTGGTTTCAGTGCTGTTCTGGGTGTGCTGTTCTGTCTCCGATGTTTCATGTCTTCGTTTTTTTTTGGGGGGGGTTTGGTTTGTGTGTTTCCCCCCTGGATCGTTCCGTCAAACATGCTGCCACGCTGTTTCAGAATAGCAAGAAGAACAAGCAGCGGCTCGAGCATGATCTCTCGGCGCTCTGCGCGACTCTCTCGGCCTGGGCGCCGCCGCCGCGGGCGGCCGTGCCGCGGCCTGCCGCCGCCGGCCTCCCCCGCCGAGGCGGCCATGCTCGTCCCAGAGGCGGAGCTGGTCCCCACGGACCACGCCCTGCGCATGCGCCCGGTGCGCCCGCCGCCTCTGGCCTCCCACCTGTGGAAGGCCTTGCGGCCGGTGCCGCCGACACCGTGTGCGAGGACGAGGGGGGCGAGGAGGAGGAGGAGAGGGAGGAGGAGGGGGACGAGGAGGAGGGGAGGAGGGGGAGGAGGGTGAGGAGGAGGGGCCCCCAGGGACTCTGAACGCCCGACATGGGTACGGAAAGAATGGGCACAGTGCCCAACGGCAGTCCCTGTTCATTTCGAACAGGACTCGCTGTCCACGCCGCCGCGGCCTGTGTCAGTTCCAGACAGAAGGCCGCCTGCCCAACGGCGGCCGCTGTTGGTTTGGGGCAACCTTTGCTGTTGGGCATTGTACCCGTTCTTTCTGTACCCCTTCCGGGCGTTCAAAACACGGGGGTCAACCAGGGCGCCGGTTCCTGCCGGAGGCTGCAGGGCCAGGGCTGCACTGGCCCGGGCCAGCGGCTAGCGTGCAGGATCTTGTAGGATCCCGCAGGATCTTGCAGGATCTTGTTGCAGAATCCTGCAAGTCTTGAGTCGGGCCTGTCCCCCTACAGGAGGAACATTCAACAATGATCAAACAATGATCTTGGGATGTTCTTTTTTGAGGGGGGGAGTTTTGTTTTGTAAGTTTTTTGGGGGCGTGTGTGGGTTCGAGTATATTATGTTTTTTTTTTTTGATTTGTAACATTTGTTCGTCCCAAGTCCGCCTGCAGGGGGACGCGCCCGACCTAACTCGGAGGTTGATAGGCCTCCTACCCTGACACGTCGATTGGGGAATTGGCCGTTTTCGGTTCGCGAGAGGGCGTCGCGGCCGTCATTTTTGAGGGTCCAGGTCCGTCGGTTTCGGTCCCAGACCGTTTTCACTAAGGGGAGGTTTACTAAAGGGAGGTGTGTCCACCGCCGACTAACGCAAGTCCTGACCGACCCGGCTTCGGTTGGCCCGGGTCAGTAGATCCCAGATCTGCGGCCGCCGCGGGCCGCCTCCCTCCTCCCACCTGTGGAAGGCCTTGCGGCCGATGCCGCCGACACCGTGTGCGAGGACGAGGGGGGCGAGGAGGAGGAGAGGGAGGAGGAGGGGGACGAGGAGGAGGGGGAGGAGGGGGAGGAGGAGGAGGAGGAGGGGGGGGAGGAAGGAGGAGGAGGCGATGATGATGATGATGATGATGATGATGATTATGATGATGATGATGATTATGATGATGATGATGAATGATGGATATATGGTGGTAGTGATGGTGATGGATGGTGATGGTGATGATGATGATAGATGATGATGATGATGATGAATGATGATGATGATGATGAATGATGATGAATGATGATGATGATGATGGTGGTGGTGGTGGTGGTGGTGGTGGTGGTGGTGGTGGTGGTGGTGGTGGTGAGGGTGAGGAGGAGGAGGAGGAGGAGGAGGAGGAGGAAGACTTGTGTAAACCAAAGGCACATCAACGACGTTGCACTGAGCCCTCCCTCCAAATTCCATCTTCTCAGGGCCCTACAATAATGCGTTCCCAGATATCCTGTGGTGTTGGGTCCTCGTTCCCCGCGTTCCTCCTCTCCTCCTCGCGCTCCTCTTCGGCGTGCCCCGCACACGGTTCGTGGCCCCATAGGGCGCTCCACCGAAGGCCTCAGTGGCAGGGTTCGCAGTCCGCTCTCATGTCGGTGCACCCCTCACGCGGTTCGTGGCCCCACAGGGGGCTCCACCGAAGGCCCCAGTGGTAGGGTTCGCATGCCGTTTCAGTGTCATTTCGGTACAACTCTGACACGCTTTGTGGCCCCATAGGGATCTTTACCGAAGGCCTCAGTTACAGGGTCGCATGCAGTTCCACCCTCATGTCGGAGCCCTCACGCGGTTCGTGGCCCCATAGGGAGTTCCACCGAAGGCCCCAGTGGTAGGGTTCGCATGCAGTTCCGTCTTCATGTCGGCGCAACCCTCACACGGTTCGTGGCCTCATAAGGATCTTCACGGAAGGTCCCAGTTGCAGGGTACGCATGCAGTTCCACCCCCCTTTTTCGGCGCACTCCTCACACGGTTTGTGGCCACATAAGGAGCTCCACCGAAGGCCCCAGTGGCAGGGTTCGTATGCAGTTCCGCCCTCATTTCGGCGCAACCCTCATTTCGGCCCCATAGGGAGTTTCACCGAATGTCCCAGTTGCAGGGTTCGCATGCAATTCCCCCCCCCCTTCGGCGCACCCCTCTCACGGTTCGTGGTCCCGTAGGAAGTTCCACCGAGGACGGTTTTCACAATTGTGTATTCACAAGTGCATATGACTCGGTCACTCGCTAGGATAATTTTCATTGCGGGAAATCCCCCTTCGGAAGACAACCGTCTCAGAACCCCCAATCGTGCCAAATCATTATTCTTGGGACCGTAAGGCGGTGCCAGCATATTACTCCAGCTGGAA